CTGGCTGCCCCGTCGATTGTTGCTGCATCGAGCATCGCCTCTGCACCTCGGTACGTACGCTGGACCTATCCCAGCCCTGCGCCCTCACGTGCTGTCCGCTTTGGGCGCCGCTTGCCTGCCCGCACGCGCTGACTTTGTCGCTGCAGCATCACCACCCCTACGCTGTACATACGTGGTCGGCTTCGTGGCACCCTCCCGCGCTCTCTCCAAACACTGCTCGACCGCCTCTCCACCACCCCCCCCTCAGCCCCAAGTCTGCCCATCGACTGCGTTGTGCTGGCCGCCCTCTGCCTGCGCACAGTCTCGGTCGCTTGTCTCTTTAAGCTGGGGATGGGATCCCAGCATCCGGCGCGCAAATTCCACATCACGCCCCGACCGCCAACCCAAACTGCCGCTCCTACCACCATCCTCCCACCGCCATGCACGACCTTAAGCCGCTCGTCTTCCCTCACATGCCCGCCCTTCGCAAAGCTTCAAAGGGCTCGTTAATCATGTACGAGGATCCAACTCTGTCCGTTTGTTCCAATGCAGACTCTGGCTTCTACTCTGCATCCGAGTGCTCCACGCCGCCCACGCCAAGCCAGTACATCCGTGGTCACTTCCGCTTTCCCAGCTCCGCTTCGTCATTGTCGTCGAGCCCGCCAACCTACGACCCGGCCGACGCCCCCAATGGCTCGGGAAAGCTGCCCAAACTGACCGAGGAACCCTTTGAGCGCGAGTACGACTTTGTTGACCACGACGTCTACCGCTGCTCTTGTGAGTTTGACCTGCAAACGTGTTGCCTTTGCGGCGCTGATCCAAACTCAGGCGACACCCAAGGTTCCTATGGTCATGCACAGCACTGCAGGATATCTAGGGCATACGACCCCCAGGACGAGTACTTCACCACTGCCGACTGTGGACTACAATCGGCAAAGCGAAGACGGTCATTGGAAGCCTCTGCCCACAGCATTGCTGGCAAGATTGAGAGGCGCTTCCCTTCGCTGTCGCGCAGAGTGCGCGACCGCACCTCCAACCTCAGCAGGGTATCGCGCAGCACAACGCCCTCACGAGTGCCCTCGACACGCTCCTCGTCGCTCGCTGGCTCCCTCTACCAGGCGTCGACTGTCGATCTCGCAACCGAATACTCGCCCCCCACCTCCAACCCTGCTTTGATCAGCAGAGAGCAAGTAAACGACGATGTTCCTACGCCACTTGCCATTGACGTGGACAGGGCCAATGCCATGGACATTGACTTTGATCCCGACGAGGTGGAACGAGAGCGATATGCCGCTACGCCACTCTTACCGCCCATGCTGGTACACTCTCGGACCGAAGACGTGCCGGCTTCGTCGCCTTTGCAGTCACCAGCAGTTGCTGACGCGAGTCAGTCAGTCGGTCTGGCTTATGCTCCCACCCCTCCAACGCGCACCTACCCTACACCCCCTCTGTCCTCGAAGCCCTCCTACGCCTCCATGCGAGGACCAAACGCAGGATTTGCCGTGGCATCGGCCGATATCCCTCCCCTAATGCTCGCCAGCCCTGACGACAGATGGGCCAATATCTTGGGCCACGCCAACTTCACCATTCTCCCCGAGCCATACATTCCAGAAGTGTGCGACTCTGCGTCTATCGAAGAGCATCTGGCCGAGTGGGCCCAAGCGCGGCGCAACTATGCAAAGCACCAAGTACGCACCGCTGAGCATTATGGAGTGACATCGAAGCACTATCTTCTCACCGAACAAAAATGGGCTGAGATTGACGCCGAATGGAAGAGGAACCATGATATGGCCAAGGCGCATGCGGCTGCCCTTGGCGAAGAGCTTGCGCCATACTCTCCCACGGAGCCAGGACCCCTCAGTAAGATGCCTACGCTCCACGACCCGAAGAGCGAGGGTAAATTCCCCAATCTCGGTGACGAGGACATTGTCGGCCCCATGCAACAAGCCGCCGCACTAATTCCGGTCAACCCTTCACGTAAGCGCGCATTCTTCAGGTTCCTCAGCCCCCTGCGCTTCCCTAGTTCGTTCCTAGGCCGTTCCTCAAACGGCACCCGAGCATATTAGAACGATAATGCGACAGAGGACAACCACCCTCTCTGTCGTCATCGCATGCGACCAACTTTTCTGCTTGGTCGCGTTCGACTGTACATTACTGGCCCTCTTTGCCCAACGACAGGTGCAAAGAGGGCTGCTTTACGAAAGTACGAGTGAATGACCCAAAACATATTTGGCGCTTTTTATTTTGCGCCACGACGACACGACTCATCAGAGCGACGAATTTCCTTTGTTTAAATCATTATTAGAGGCGTACTGCGCTCGCTCCCCCCCTTCAATGGGGCGGTTTTTTGTGTTTGTTTGTTGGGCGGTTTGGGAAAAAAAAAAGCGATGCATGCGTCTGCATTGGGCGAAAAGCGAGCATCGTCATCACGCTGTGGGCTCCACGCAGCGATGGCTCTTCAGCTAATCTCATTGTTCATCTAATTGTTTTCTCCTGTGCTCACCTGCGGAGCACAATTGCTGTCTGTTTCGGCGGCTACACCTTTGACTCGTCCCTGTCCGGGGGGACTCGAGAGGGCAAGCGCAGTCGCGGGTCTTTGTTACCCTTTTTGGTTGGAGGGAAAAAGTAATGGGGACTTGTTGGGCACATACATTCCAATCAGTATTGATAAGTTCTAATAGACCCATTGGGGGAAGCGCGGATTTTGTTGTTGTACAACTGTTTTTGAACTGGGATGTTTTATTGGCATGTAGTACAGCGCTTGTGTGGAAGTTGGCGAGTCCCTCTCTTTTCTCGAGGACAAAGCCCCGAAGCGCCAAATGAAACTTGGTATCCACGTACACACGGACCCCGACCCGACAGCTTTTTGCCTGCATCGTGACTACACGTCGTTCCCTAATCGACTGGCTGTGATGCGTCGTCCTTGAGTATTTGTTGAGCAAACAGTTGGACGAGGGGAGGGGGGGGGGGGGGGGCAGGCAAGAGCGCTTGCCGGCAGCTTCTCATTGCACCATCTGCACACATGATGGCCACGCCCACATGTCCGCCCTCTCTTTCTCTCTCTCTCTCTCTTTCTACGGGCCCTGCGCACATTGCTATCTTTCTGTCTTTCTGTCTCTCTCTCTCTCTCTCTCTCTCTCTCTCTCTCTCTCTATCTTTCTGCCTTACCATGTACCCTCTCCCACCACTAATCACACACCACCGTGTTCCCCTTGGTTCGTACAAAAGGAGAGAGAAAAAAAACAAGCTTTCACAACCCAACGTAGTAATGTGAGCCCAACCCCAATCGGCCTGCAAATGCACACACAAACACACATGACGAACGGACGCTACATGCCACCTCCCTTACTTGCACTCAATGTATCCCACACTCACATGCTCGCAACGAAAACACACACACACACATGTTCCATGTCAAGCCGGCGGCCCTCCCCAAAAAAGGGGTTGTGTGCTTTTGCACACGACACTTGTTAAATGCATCTCTGTACTAAAGCGAAAATACCTTGCTCCTCCTCCTCCTCAGCCCACTTGGCCCACGTCTCGTGTCTCAAGCTGCTACTGCTGCTGTCTGCGTGGCACTTTGTATATCCTGTCAGTTCCGCTAGGTCTAGCCCGACCCTTACAACACCGTGCATGGTAACCCTGGCTCTCGTTTTTTCTTGTCTCTGATGGCTACGTATCACGACCGGCGGTGGTGGTGTTGGTGGGGAGAGAGGGGGAGAGAGGGCAAGGATACTGTACTGTAAGAGGCTGCATGTGTGCGACGATAGATGGGTAGTGCAAACATGGGGAAGCCGAAGCGATGGTGGTGGGTGGGTCTCTTTTTTTTTGGTCTTACGTATGATGATGGTGGCGTCTTGAGGGTGGGTTTGATGACGGGCGCGGAGGACATGTGGTAGGTAGGTAGGTAGGTAGGGGATTAGATGGTCGTGTTGGGGGGTGGGGGAGACACTGCTGCATGTGTGTATCGTTGTGTGGATGTATGTGGATGTTGCAAGGAAGGGATGGGAGGTTTGGTGGTGACGTGAGTGCAGCATTTGACTGAGTGGTGAGTGTGTTTCTTCCCTTGCCATCTGACAGCTGCAACCAACTGTCTGCCCTTGCCCTGCTTGCGTTGCGATACCTCAAAAGGTGATATCCTGGGTTACGTAGTCTCAACTGTGGTGGGATTGTTTTCGATCCGAGATGAAGGGCCTATATGCAGGTCTGATGACGAACAGCTCTTTGTAGCGACATTTACCTGAGACATTTGTTGCATACGTATACGCATGCGCCCATGAATGTGGGAAAAGACATGAGTCTCGGGACTTTGTGCATGTCGAAGTCATGTCTGTCATTCTATCTTTGGGCGGGGCTGGAGGCGAGCTGCATGTCTGGGCATGCATGCAATGCATACTAGACTTAGGTGCATGGTGGCAAAAAAGAAGACAAGAGAGGGGGAGGTGCAGTTTCGTATTTATGTAAGATTGCGTTGTCGTTTGATATTTTTTTCGTGTGAGGATATAGAAAGCAGCAGTGATGGATGGGAGTGTTTGCTAAAAGCTTACACTGCTTTCCCCCCCAACACTATCTTTTTTTTTTTTGCTCACTGCACCTTAAACGTGACAAGCAACACAAATGTGGTTGAACAAAGAGCCCCTCTCCCTCATGCACTAAGCTGCAGTTAAAAAAACGACCAAGCTACGGCTCGTGCCGCATCGCATGGCATGGCAGCGCATTGCATTGCATTCTCACCCGCAGCCGTAGCTGTAGCCGTAGTAACAAGTTTAGCCCTTTCGGCCCCAACAGATCGTGTCTTGAACTCTGCTTCTGACACGCACACAACCGAAGCAGTATCGCTTTGTCTAGTCACATACTCCGTCCCATCTCCATCTGACACCTGCCCATTCACCCCGCCTTGCCACCCTCCTCCATGCCACATTCCAATACTCAACCGCCTGCAAGAAGCGCATGCCACGTCGCTGTTGGCAAAGCTTCCTTTCTGCAAAGTAGTCTAAAAACAGAGTGAGGAGCTGGGAGCGTTGTACGTCATGGTCATCAGCATCTTCTGCGTGTTTTGCCTCTTTCTTCTTTCTCACTCTGACTTCGCTTATGCTTCTGGAAAACACAACATTCAGCCCTTTTCTTACATAGCTAAACCCACATACGCTGCGTACTATACATCCCCTCTCTAGCGCACTGCACTACCAACCCACGTAGTGTAAGCACTCTACCTCTCATCCCCCTCCCGCTCTCCCCCGCTATGTACCCTATGTCGGTTCCAGCGCCCTGGAATCCGGTCCTGGGCTTTTTCTTGCTTCGCACATACAGGAACATGCATGCAAAGGCCACCTTTTGTTTTTTTTGCCGATCTGATTTCTAGGCGCTTGTAAATGTCATGCTTTTGAGCTTTTCCCCACTCTGCTTCCTGCACGCGCGGACAGTGCAGGTGGGAGGTTTGTGGATGCGCGTATGTTTGGTGGGTGGATGCTGTGTGACGTTGCTGAAACTTGTTGGCTTGGGGAAGAGAAAAGGGGGGACATGGAGATTGTGTACGGGGTATTGTAAAGAGGTTCTGTCGGGCGAGGGAAAGGAAGGACGTGTTGAAGTTGTAGAGTTAATTGAGTGAAGATGAGGGAAGAGTAGAGATTCATTTCTTTCGAAAGTGTTGATGATAATAGCACTTTCATTGAGATGGTGATATACTACGCAGTCACACTTACTAAAAGCAAAAGAAATCACTCTAATCAGCTATAGAAAGTTTCATAGCATAATCCTGCTTCTTATCCCGGTCGCTCATCTTCCATATCAACCAGCGAACTCACCTTTACGTCAGAATTCAGTGGAACCACCTTCTCAAGAAGCCGCTCCAAAGCTGCTCGCTTCTGAGCTAGACTATACCCATCCAAATTCCTATCCTGACGCTTATCGAACCAGTACCGTAAATGGGTAGCATTGTATTCCACAGGTGCAATGCCAGACCGCGATATCACACCCATCACCCTCACCGTTCCATATAGTACTGCGCCCGATACTACATTTATCTCTTGTCCGTAACAATCGATCCACGATACCATTGTGTCCGCCTGACAGAGGAGCTCCACGGTATTGTCGAAGCCATTGATAATCGCTCGCCCTACCGGCGGATAATTACCGATACCCAAAATATTCATATTGGCACCGCATCTGATGAGCGCTTCAACGCTTACATGTGACCCCAAATCCACAGCGCGATACAAAGGCGTGAAACCTGTGTTGTCACGCGTCTCGAGATCCGCGCCATGGGCACACAGACACGAAATGATATCCCCGACCTCGCAGTTGTTGATAAAGTAAACGACGCTGTGAATGGGGAAGATTCCATCATTATCAGCAGTTTGGGCGTCAGCTCCAGCCTCTAAGAGCGCCTTGATGCATCCCAGCGAGCCGCCTTCAACAGCATAGTGCAGCGCAGTTCGGCCTGATGAGTCCCTTGCTTCGACTTTAGCGCCGCGCAAGAGCAGTATGTTGGCATGAGTGGAATTGCTAAGGCGAGATGCCCACATTAGAGGTGTTGCGCCTAACCAGTCTCGATTCTCGATTCGTAAAGGGCCGAGATCGATTTGCAATTCGAGATCCCCAGTGGATAATCCGCCTGTTATTTGATGGAGGGAGCTGAGATGGAGATCATAAGAATCTTCTGAGCCGATGAGGTCGTGTAGTTTAGCCACACCAGCATCATTGTTGCGGTTTAATAGGATATGAACCCATGCTGCGTCGGATGCTGATCTATGCATCTTTGTTAGTTAACCATCGTACGAATCCAAGGCCGGTAGCTCCCTTTACCTTCCCGACCTATCTTTAAAGTTACAGTCTGCTCCCATGGCTGTGAGTAAGGAGCAGCTTTCGAGTTCCCAGAGATACCCCGCTAACTGTGTTGGTTATTGGTGAGCGACGTTCATTATTGTCAAAGACTACTATTCAATCCCCTTTACTTGCAAAATATACCATCCATTTAGATCAATGTCGTACGGTGAAATCATCCGATTCTTCAAAAGAACCTTGATTGTGTCTATATTTCCTTGACGAACATGCCACCAAACAGGGCCATCGTAAGATATCTCCCTCGGCACTTTGACTACCTATGAAGAGTTTTTACCTTTGAGATTACTCCATGTGGAGAAGACGAGGGCGGTGTGCAGCATCCAGGTAGGGAAGTAGTATGTTATTCTAGAAGATGATGATGGGTGAGATCGCAAGCAAGATGGAACATTGCAGGGTCGAACGTCCAGCGGGGGCGTGCTTGTAGAAGAGTAGAATATCGTGCCGATAGTTGCTGAAAGCCATTTTGGAGTCTGATATTGGCTTTAGACGTGGCATTGGCAATTGCAAATCCATTCACATGGTTTCGTAGGCAGGTTAGTTGTTATGCGAAGTTGAGTCGATGGTGCATTGCCGTTGTCGTACATTGACTGTACTAGAATGGATCTCATATTCTCCTGTGGACATTGGTAGGGTTTCAATCGATTTTCTCCATGAATGCTGACTGATTTTAGTTGGTCAAAAATGCGGTCTAGCGAGACGGAAGTCTCAGCATGGTTTTTGCTATGCACAATTGCAACCTCTTCGATCCTTGACAATAACTCCCGGTTCCCGCGACTACAAAATCGTCAGCTCTCACCATACTCGTAAATGTTAGGTGCAAGGTAAAACTTAACCTATAGGTTTACTGAAAGGAGAACCAATTGCAAATTCCGATGCGCGTCTGAAATCTTTTCTCGGATATCTGCCAGCTCATTCTTTCGTCGCGTATTCAGCCCAAGGCGCCATGAACCCTTTCCATTTCTGAATAAATTTGCATGCGCAAACTGATTCAGTTGATCCAAGTACTTTTCTAGTTTTCCAATTGTTTCTGGTAAGGTCTCGTAGGCCAGCCTTGCCGCCGGTGTCTTGCTACTTCTCAACGCATCATCTTCATCACGCACCACAGTTAGAGTTGTTTGTAAATCAGTGAACTAAAGCCGTTAGATATATTAATTTGAAGAGTCGAACACTGCATACAGTATTCAAGATTGCAATAAGTTCAGCTCGAGGATCTATACGAGATTTCAAGTGATCCAGATGCTGTATAATCAATCCCGCGACCGTGATAAGGGTCAGGATACTTGCAGTCACTGAGAGCGGATCCATGGTAGGCAGTAGCTGGAGGATTGAAAAAGCAGATTTTTCGAGAATGCTCTTTCTGATAGATAAGTACTTGTTTTGTTGTCATTGGGGCGGAGCACGAGGAAAGTAAGGCGCCAAGGCTAAGCAAGAGAACAGCTCAAGGGAGGGCTCCTTCCATGTCGCCTCACTTCAAAACGGCGTAGCAGGAAATCACTCCAGTGTAAGCAAAAAACATCAGTACATCGTTGCAAGTAGAAAATATACGTGGATTACTTATTCAAGAATAGACACCACTATTCTTTTAGGCTGCGATCTCACGAGATAGGCAATTCCAATCACGCTGCTAAGGCCTACCGCGTGCATTACCCATCCATCCATCTTGCTCTCCGTACATCCATCCCAGATTCACCCAACCTTAAGCGGACATCCTGTATTATTGAACGCAGGATTCAGCTTCGAAGTTGCAAAATTCAAGAACGCACCAGTGATATCAGTCACAGCACCGAACATACCAGGCACCGGGCTAACGGCCAATTGGTACAGCAAACACATCATATCCTTCACCGTCACCTCATCCGGTAGCTTTCCATCGCGAATAATATCAAACGGCGTGCTAAGGGCGTTGAAATTGCCAGTACCGACATTTCCACCAAACAGCTTGGGGTATTGAAGATACATGGTAAGGATCTCGGTCACGGCATCAGTAACACTGTATGGCTCAACGCGCGAAAACCAGTTTTCGGGGATACGCTCGGGGACATGATGCCAGCCTCCTGGCGCGGAAGGGTCCTCGACGGCACCGAAGAAAGTCTTCATTGTCTCGAGATCGGGAGTGCCTTTATTACCGTAGCTAGGGAAGAGTTCGTAAAGGAAGGCTGCGGCTCCGTAGAGGATTATTGCCAAGGGACTGAAAAGGAAGTTTGGATTCTGTAGCATGTCAGTAATGTGTGCTTGACAGAGAGATGTTAAACGGAGCACTTACGTTGGATACAGAGTCGTCGTACCGGTCGCTACGGTACTTGGCAAGAGCATTGCGATCGAACTTTCCGCCAGAGACTTCATCGGCAACCTTCTTCATCTGTGCAAACAGCGTACCGTTAAAACTGTAATTGTCGCCATCTGCAAGAAAGTAGTCGTTACGCGTGAGTGACGAATCAGCCTCAAACTTGTTGTGTGCATTGAGACCGGGCTGGCGGGCAAGAGCAGGAAAGAGGGCTGTACGCGATGTAGCATCGCATGCGATACTCAAGCGTCCAGTAATAAAATCGCCGCCAGCTTGCATGCCCAGCACGGTATGGACGATGGATAGATCATAGCCAACGTTGAAGACGTTTTGCTGAGCATCGACAAGCTCTTGGAAGTTTGTGATTCCATCGTGAGAAATAAAGTTATGCTGGAGCAATGTTAGTCTGGGTTTGAACTCACAACCCTAGTACGTCAACAGTTGCTTACGTTTGCGAGCGCATTTAGACCAGGACATGGACCGCGAATATCATTGGGTCCAGGAGGGGTGTAAGCATGGGCAGTATCGCCGTCTGCTGGAACTTTAATACCACCTCTCTGGTTACCAGGAACGCCATTCTTTGCTCCTGTGTAGGTGTAAGGCTCTGTGTATGGAGCAGCGCCCTTATGATCAGGATTGAAAGGACAGTTTTCCTGGCGCTTTTCGACCGGATGAGCGTTCCTGAAGATGCTGGGGTTCACACCAGGCTGATTCGCTATCCAAGGAAAGGCAACAGTAGAAGTGACATAGATGGAGAGGAGAAGCGGGAGTATGTACATCGTAGATGGGTGGTTGCCGCCACGGCCAAGTTCTTATCTGGTTTGTGTCCTTGGAATCTTTTTTTTCTCACTCGATTTCAAATGACAGATGGAGCTACCAGGGCTGCTTTGGTGGGTGAGTTGCCATGCTATATGCTATGGGCGCCACCGGGTTGGACGGAGGAGACGATTTAGTTCTAACTAGTCAGAACGGCTTACCTAACAAGAGAGCAGAACGAAATTTCTGTTCAATTACTACACTTTCTAATGAAGTTGTGGTCGTGTGTAGTGGTGGCAGGGACCAGGTGTTCCCACAACCTATATCAAGGCTACATAAGACCGTTTTTAATACACCACAAAACTGCCTTGGGTAGCAATAGTGGCCATACACCCTTCTAATCAAGTGAATCTCAATGGCAGAGCCGATCCTGAACTATCCGAAGTCTAGCCGGATCTACGCCCCTTAATAGACCTACGCTACAAAACGGAAATAAAAAATGCCAATCCAAACGGGATTTGGGAAGGCAATCAGAAATGTAGCAAAGATCAGCACAACACAACCATCAGGATACCAGGGCAGCAACCCCTCCATGTCAGCCACGTGCTTGCGTGAGAATCGTACACCACGAACTATAGTTCACGATAATCGAGCAGGGTTGATTGTTGTAGGTGATAACTCCCGTTTCTCTATTGGTGTTATGAGAATCACCAACCAACTAATTCCATCTGCATGATCAATAAGCTAGATATTCCAGAAAATTGACCAGCCATTCAGTCCATGTGAGCGAGTCACTGCGGATTACGGGAAGTGGAGTCAGGCAGTTCTAGTTGGTGGGGTTACTTTTGCATCTCAATGTGGAGTCTTCCAAGCACTGTACATCCAGTACTAGCGGTGAACACGTCTATAGAAAACGGAGACTGATATATGTGGATATTCAACAAAGCAAAAAAAAAAACGGGAGCGAAACAGTGTTTACTCATTTCTTTCGGGCGACGCGCTAGTCTAGCTACATGATTGATGTACAAAGCGCGACAGAAAAAGGAAGCTAGTCATACGGATGCTATCAAGCGCCAGCAAAACGGATGCCGACTCAAGTACGCCGCGCACGCCGATTAGGATGATAATAACAAAGAAGCGATACAGGAATGCGATATCAAAGGTCTCGTTGATATGATACGTCGAAGCTACCAAGGTACTTATTTGTTGACCTGGGATTCGCGCTTGACAACGGGGTTGTCGCCAGACTTGAACTTGCTATCAGACGGAAGAGGCTCGCTGGGTTTATCTGCAAATATTTCGTTTAGCCTGATACCGAATGCAAAGAGGTTCGCACAAGCTTCTTCATCAGGGGTAGACTCACCATGTCGTGCGTATAGGTGGTGCTCCTCGTCGGCATATTTGCCTACGGCGCCGCTCTCGACCTCTTTGCGGGTGAGAGAAAGCTTGCTCTTGGGAAGACCCATGGAGCCGAGGAAAGTGACACCGTTCTTCCACTCAACTTCCTTGCGCTTGTTGTCCCACTTCAGCTCCTCGCCCATAATATCAATAACCTTGGGAAGGGCCTCCAGAGCGGCTTGGGCGTTCAAGAAGGCAAGACGCATGCGGCGGGCAATTACGTCAGTGGCAGTCTGAGCGTACTCGTGGCGGACACAGTAGCGAACCTCACCATCAATGTAGGGATAAAGCTCGGACATCTTGATTCCACGGACAGGGAATCGCTGCTCAGTGGGCGCTGAAAGAGATGCGACGGTCCAGGCACGGTCACCATAGGCCTGGCACAAGTACTTGGCTACATCGGTCTCGATGCCGTAATGCTGGATCAAGTTGATGAAGAGAGTCTTGGAGAAACCGTGAGCACCAACCAGGCGGACACGGTGGGTCTGGCAGGTACCATCGAGAGGAGCCTCGTCCTTAACTTGAGTTCCACTGATAAGAGTGGGATTGTCCAGTGGCTTTGGTACCAGGCCGAATTCTTTGATCGCCTCGTCGACGGTCTCCTCGGCCATCTGGCGGTAAGTCGTCCATTTTCCACCAGAGCAAGTCAACAGGCCAGAGGGAGAGGTGGTGACCAAGTGATTGCGGACAAGGCCTTCAGTCGCGCTCGCTTTGGGGTCGCGGACCAAAGGACGGATACCAGACCAAGCAGCGAGGACGTCACCGCGGCGAACGTTGATTTCAGGCTGTAGGTAACGCTTGACCTCGTTGAGAATCCAGTCGATCTCTTCCTCACCAGCAATGGGATTTTGCTTGATATCACAAGCAGTGTCCGTCGTACCGGCAATGGTATTGCCTTGCCATGGCAGGAAGAAGACGACACGGCCATCAGAAGTGTTGGGGTCAATGAGACCCATGTTTGCGGGGCTGTAGTAACCAGGGAGAATGACGTGGACACCAGAACTGGGAGCAACGATTTCTGGCACCTCCTGATCGTCCATTTTGCGGATAGAATCAGTGAAAGGACCAGTAGCGTTGATCACACCCTTAGCCTTGATAGAAAACTCTTGAGGCTTCTTGCCGTTGCTCTCCTCAATGAGATCCTTTGCCTTTGCACCGCACAGACGGCCATTGGCATCTTTCTCAAGGCCAGTAACTTCAAGATGGTTGACGACAGTAGCGCCATAAAGTGCTGCAGTCATAGCAAGCGAGACGTTCATGCGGGAATCATTGTGTGCACCATCTGCTCAGGTCAGAGATGGATTTCAAAATTTGCGGTTGAATAACTTACCGTAGTATACCAGAGCTCCGATAAGGCCCTCCTTCTTCAGCATAGGGAATGCGTCCAAGGCCTTGCTCTTTGTCATGTAGTAGGAAGACTCAATGTTCTCTGATCCAGCGAGGAAATCATAGAACTTGGTGCCAGCCCAGAAGTAGGGCGCTTGCCACCACTTCTGGATGGGAATCATGATGGGGAGCCATTGTGAGAGGTGGGGTGCAGTATCCAAGAAGTAGCGACGTTCGCGGAGAGCTTCGACAACAAGCGAGTATCTGGGGTCGGGTCAGTAAAGAACAAGGCAGAAATCGCTGAAGCACTCACTGGTTGTAGTCGAGATTCCAAACGGCCTTTTCAAGATATCGTACACCGCCGTGTACCAGTTTGGTACTTTTACTGCTCGTACCACTGCTAAAGTCATCGCGCTCGACGAGCGCAACCTTGAGGCCTCGTGTAACGGCGTCAAGAGCAATACCTGCTCCTGTTGCGCCACCACCGATAATCAGGAGGTCGTATGGGTCCTCTTCCACTTTCTCAGGCGTTGAGTTGCCACCGATCCATCTCCTTGCCTTTTCAGCAACCTGCGACACGACACCGGCGCTGCGCTTCAGCTGTGCAATCTGTTCGTCGCGGCTTTTAGCACTGGGAAACTGTGGTGGGCGGAAAATGCCCCCCTCACCGTAGGTGGGTGGAGGGACTGCGGCGGCTTCGCTGCCGGGGATATCACGAGGTCTGAGGCTGACATAGAGGGCTCCCGCGCCCACTGCTCCAGCTCCCGCTGTGTAGAGCAATGGCTTGATGAAACGGCTTCCTCGTCGGGCAGCCATAGTGATGGTGTGTAGATGGATCCAAGTGTCTCTGGAGACGTAACCGCTCCAGGCGCTGTTGGGGTATTATACAAATGTGTGTTCAAAAAAATAATACTAGTAAGATGTGCTGAGGCTCAAGCCTTCACATATCTAAAAGTCTAGTTAGCGGCCGCGCAGCGGAATCGGAGAGATTGGCATCGAATTGTCGACGTACCTCAGGAAGTGTTTAGAATTGCATGGCGAGCATGAAGTTGATGGATTGGTATTTTTCCGGGGGAGGATCTGTCGTGGAGGAAAGGTGGCAGACAGGAACAGTGGAGCTTCAAAAGTCTGAAGCGCATCCGCCGCCTGGGATGACGAAAGCGTGGGTTCGCGTTAGGTTGCGCTCCACCTCGGGAATGGCGGGACAGTCGACGCTGGAGCTGGAGCTGCACGTGCAGCCTCTCTGCCGCTGAAGCGCCGCAGCAGAACAGCCCGCCTCTTGCCTGTGCTTCTGCATCTGCCCTACATCTGTATACTACAGATGTACATTCACGTGAACTGGCCGTGTTTCGGCCGTGGTTGTGCAGCCCCTCGGGCATTCAGTGACAATGAAAGTGGCGGATGCAAACAGAATAGGAAGCTCTTCCGACACTCCCCCTCAATCGCGGTTTGGGTGGAGAACCCAACCGGAAGCGGCACACCCCCACGGAGACTCGCCAAGCACAGTGGATCGCAGAGCCTCATGATGATCTCATGTGCTGTGGATTCGTGTGTCGAATGGTGCTGCCAGCATTGATTCATGTTGAATATCTCGGCGGCGATCTTTCTTGTCGGCGCCCAATCCTTTCCACATACGACCACATACCCACAAAATCAGCCAACAGCCAGCCATGCCGCCCTCGCCCCGCCCTCCCCTAGAGTAGACCCAAGCTCCTCACTCTCCCGTACCGGTACCCAACAGAAAAAATATGACAACAGCCAGACCACACTAGATAAGCCCCCTTTCTCAAATCCGTGCTACCCACAGCAAAAGTACAATGTCCAATGCCACCACCGCACCCGCAATGCTCAGCACCGCTCCCTGATGCACCCATCCTAACCGCTCCCTGCGTGTCTGCATGCTGATCACAGCGACAACACACAAGACAAGCGAACAAATGGTACCAATCATAACGCCAGCATCCACAACACCTCGCTCCTTCCTCCGGCTCGTCACCGTCATTAGACACAATACGAGGTCCAGCACCACAGCCGCCCCCAGAGCTGTCGAGTAGAACCGCAGTTTGGTCATCTCAACCTTGTGCTGGTTACTCTCAACCTCGCCTAGTAATGCGCGCCGCTCGTTGAAAATGTCTGCGTCGCGGTGGGGGTCACGCAGCGACCGGAACAGAGTGCTGAAATAGCCCTTTCCCTCTGTGCCCTGCCTGCTCGACTCAATTGCTCCGTAATTTGCCGCATGGATAATGGGCGATGAATCAATCGTATCATTGTCATCATCTGAATCCTCAATGCCAGAGAG